AGACTAAATATGTCTATAACGAAATTTTTGATTTAGATGGTTAATACTGACTTGCTATGCAAGATATTTGGATCGGATTAGACTCTAGAGCATCTAAAATATCAAGTATTTTTAATTTTTTTTACCAAGATTATGTTGGGCTGGACTAAAATATGTGAAAAATACTTTTATGCAATGATCAAATGTCGAATCAAACCGAATTTGAATATATAATAAAAGAACCAAAGATTCAAAAAAATAGTGTAAGAATTAAAATGTACGTTTGATTTTTTTTTTTTTTTTTCTGATTGAATTACGTTCGATTTATGCATGGACATGACATCAAAGTGAATGAATCTAAGGGTGACCATCAATATTTTGATAATCTTCTTATATTAATAAATAGATTTTAGTTTTTGTCATAATTTTCTTAATATTTTTCATTCTACTGGATTTTTAACTTGAATGGTAATAAAACGACGGTGGTAGTAGTCCTTAATGCATGCCTAACCACTACATTAGAAAATGATTCTGAAGAAATCAGACTTGTTTTATACTTTCGATGTAATAGTTGGAAACTGCTAATATAGATCTGGAAATTACACTAATTAATACGTTTACATTAAAATAAAATAAAAATTTGTTGTAAATCTAATAATTTTGACGTTCATACACACACACGTGAGAGGCAAAAACTGTATCTCAGCCGCAAGAATCTCGTCTCCTGTTTTATTACAAGGTCAACTTCTGGTCTCTCTCTTCAACTTATTAATCTTAACTTAATTTATAAAAATCTAACTATTTATTAGATTCTGATTTCAAATCTAAAAACTATAAAATAACTCCACAAACGTAACTTCAAAAATTCAAAAAAAAAAAAATATCTAAAAACCTCGGTTTTATGATCACACACCTCACATAGAAGCTTCTTGCTTCTTCACTATAAAATCTAACTCTGATCATCACTTAAACTCATATCATCTCACGTGTTCTTAGATTTTCAACAATGGCGTCGGCGATCAGTTCCTCTGATCATCGTCTTTCGACAAGCAAGAGACGTTTAAAGCCATTGATGCTAAGAGATTACTTACTCGATGATCTCAGTTCTTGTTCATCCAACGGTTTCAAATCTTTCCCACGTCGTCAAACTCCTTCTTCATCTTCCACCGTTCGTCGTCTTCTTGACGCCGAGATCAAACGGTCAGGATTGATCCATCATCATCATCATCACAACAAACAACAACGTCTCACCAGAAGATCAAACCGTACAACTTGTGGAACGGCGATAACTCACGCTGTTAATAAAGCTTCGACGGCGTTTCTTAAACTTTTGCCGTTCCCTTCTTCCACCGTTAAAAAACAAGGCGTTTTCTCTAGAAGCTTCTCTAAACGGCTTTTAAGTAGAAGCCTCTGGAGAAAACCCGTCGTTAGTCTATCTCGCCGTGAAGTAACCGGAGATGGAGACGGAGAGATCCAATGGTGGAGATCCGTCGCGTACGAAGAGAGCTTAGATCAACGGTCGGATCTGATCTCTCAACTCTCCACCACCGACGACAAAATAACATTTTCAATCTCAGCCGCTGCGATCACCACCGTGGAAGAGTTTATCTCCGGTGAGTCTTCGAGTTCCGGTAGCGAGTTTTTCACAAACTCATCATCAGAAGTTGTACAATCTTCTTCCTCATCGTTCTCTTCTTCGTCGAGCGGTGAATCTGAGGAAGTCTCGAAGAAAAACGACGCCGTGGAAGACGGGAATGAGAGCGGAGAGAGATTAAACGCACGTGACTGTGACGGATCATCTGTCAACCGCAACAACAGCCTGTGTAACAGAAAGGTTAGTTAGTTAAAAGCTCGTTTTCAATCTTTAGTACAACTGTCACAAGTGTTGAAAGCATTTGGTTTTGTCTTTTCGTAAATTAAAAAAAATTAAAAAATTGAAGAGATATTGAAACTTGTCGGGGAAAGTGTGCGAGTCACGTGAGGTGTGGGATTTAGATTTTAATGGTTACGATTCTTCTACGTAGCTTCTAATGCGTATTATACGGCACATGATCCCGCGAAAGAATTTTTTTTTGTTCCATGGTACTTGACGACGTACCAAGTTATTTTACTCACGATTTCAATTATCGTACACATTTTAAATAGAATTATATATATTTTTAGTTAGATTAGATACGCATATCTTCACACATTTATACGTAGTAGTACTTTTAACATTATAATTAAGAGTTAATTTTATATTATCACCCATGTTCATGAAATTTTAATTAAGTAATGAAATCCTTGATGATTTTTATTCTTGGATTTGTATAAGAAATATTCTCAAATAATTAAGTAACCCCACATAATCTCAATCAAAACAAAAGTGAGGATACGATCATTAATTAGATAGGGGCAGAGACAGATAGATAGATAAATGATGTTGTCATGGGGTTGGTTGACTTTTGTCAACTTATTAATGTCACTATATATTATTTCGCATATCATTATTTTTTGTTCTTGTTGAGACCACTTTTAGACTTTTAATTAGTTTAGTTATTCTTTGTGGTGCTGTGTGATTACATGTGAAACAGATTATTTGATATTATTAATTGCAATCTTTAGGAATGTGTCAATGAGGAGAAAGAACAACTCAGTCCAGTATCAATCTTAGAATGCCCTTTTAAAGATGATGGAAGTGATGATGAACACGATGAGATCACTGACCAAAATGGTAATTTTTGACAATTCATCAATATTTACAAATCGTTATACATTACTAGGAAAATGCGAAATTTGTAGCTAACGTTATAAGCTAATATTTGCAGATACATATGAGCAAATTGCTAGAAAAAGCAGGAGAATAAATGGTTTGGTACTGCTTGCCCCACTAGACTTGGATAAACGCATAGAGAAGTATGTAGAGAGACAAGAAGAGTACTCATATCACACACTAGAAACCGAAGAGGACGAATCAGAAAACCAAGCAAACCGCTTATTTGCTCTTGTGAAGTTGAGAATCGGTGAAACAAATGACCTACTAGCTTCTAAAGTAGTGGATAATCTATTGTTAGATTATCTTCAAGAAGATAACACTGGGCCAAAAGAGGAGACATTAATGGTGAAGAAAGCCGAAGATTGGGTTATGGGTAGACAAAATGAGATGTTTATGAGTTGGGAAGTGAAAGAGAAGAGAGAGGTTTATGTGAAGGAAATGAAGTGGGGTTGCATTAAAGGAGATGAGAGAGAGAATGTGATTGAAGATTTGGCTAATTGTTTCTTCACTTCCTTTGTGGATGAATTCATTGTCGACTTAGTGTTGTGATAAAGTTATGGTGTTTTGGGGGAGTGAAGATTTTGAAATTTCGTTAAAGATTAGATTCATAATGTATTAGATATATGTTATCTCAATAAAACTATATGTAGTTTGGCATAAGGGTAATGATTCCTACAAATAACTTATGTAGGTCACATGTTCGTTTTCCATTTTTAAAGTCTAGAATGAGAGTTAAGAGTCCATAATCATTATGTGTTGTTTGTTTTTCTAACTCTTAATATGAAATCTTGAGTTTCTTTATGGTTTATTTTTCGAATTCTAAATCAAATTCAGTTGTCAAAATAAATGGAAGTCAAAAGAGTTTGAATATATAATACATGTTTTATAGTTGATTCAGTGATCGAGAATTAAGGGAAACGAAAACTGTGTCCTTACTCATTGTATGATTAAAAAAAAAACAACTGAAAACACATTTATAATGTTTCATGATCTTATAAAACCATTATTAACTCTAAAATTTCATGTTTCAGAATAAATATTTGTATGAAAAGTTTAAGTAGTCATTTTTGTACGGAGATGTCAATTAGCTTCCTTCCATCCTATAACTTTTTTTTTTTGGTGCAAAGTCATCCTATAACTTAAGACTTGAGATCTCAAAGAAATGAAAACATTTGACCAAAGTTATGTTTTTGGACCATTTTTTTCCTTTTTTCTTGTTTATTTGAATAATTTTCACTATTTACTAAATATGATTTTTCACTATTTTCTAAATATATATATAGATGCATAATTAACAAATGGGTATGTTCTGTATAAATGTATAATGTAGGTAGTTACCCATATTAAACGTTTAATTGGAGTTTAAGTTATTTAATTCGCGATAGGTGTTTATAACATAATACAATATAGTAAATATATAATCTAAATATTTGAGATTATTTTCGGAACTAGTCAATTGGTTGATCAGTAGTGGTTGTGTTTTTCTGAAAACATGGAATGTACTGGATTTTAGTGAACCAAATATGAGAAATTCGGTCGTGAACAAAACTCTGTCTTTATGATGTGAAGCGATAACCATAGTGCACCTTATTTCTAGGGAAGAAACGTTTGTGAGCACCTCACATAGTAAAAATATGTATCTATTTATATAGGGATTATGCCTAAACACACCAATTGACAGAGAGATGATTATTTAGTTGATAGTTGACTTCTAAAGAGTCTAAACAATAACATTTAGATTATATAACGAATAATTAACAAATAAAAAAATTGAATAGTTGCAATTTCTAATTTTATACTCCATATCTCTATCATTTCATCATTTGGCTATTTTTAAATTTGATACATCGGACATAACAAACCTATGTAATTGGAAAACCAATTGTCCGGCTCTGATATAATTTTTTCTTACTAGAATCGGATTTGTAAGAAACATGTCAATCAAAGTGTTTTAGCTTCTCCAGCTTAACATCAAAATGCCACGTGAACCTTTGCCTCTATTAAATCACCCCAAAATAGAAATTATTTTTGCAAACAAAAAAAAAATGGAAAAAAAAATACTTAGTAGATTTATGGGGTGATGATGTTTTCCACAATTGAAAAAAATATATATATCTTTTCTATTATTTTTCATCTTAAGCATCTTAAAAAGAAGTATTTTTTTTTGTTCTTCTCTTTTTAAAGTTTGTATTTAAAAAAAAAAAACTTTTGAAGAAGAAAGACACAATAAACCCTAAATAACATTTGCCCCTTTTAGTAGCTGCCTCTCTTTTCTTCTTCCGATTCTCCTTCCGCCGCGACTGTGTAATCATGAGAGGAGTTAAACGCGCCGCCGTCTCCGAATCTAACGAATCTCCCGTGAGTTTTTTTTTTCTTCCGATTGCGTTCGTAGTTTCGTTGATTGAATCTCGTGAAGAATTCTGTATTGTATCGATTCTCTGTTTCGAGGGTAGAACATAAAAATTGACGCTTTGGGGTATTTCTTGGTGGGTGATTGATGATTGGTTTAGCTAGTTTTCTATAGATTTTGGGTGATTATGAATAAAGTCGGCAACTTTTTAATGTAACAAGTTGTGGGCATTGTTCGTAATGGTATGGAACTATAAGATTTAGCTCAAGGTCTTTGCTTTAGACCCATTACCGAGTTAGTATGATGATTGGTTTAGCTTGTTTCTACAGATTTTGAGTTGATTATCGATAAAGTCGGTAACTTTTTAATGTAACAAGTTGTGGGCATTGTTCATAATGGTATGGAACTATAAGATTTAGCTCAAGGTCCTTGCTTTATATCCGTTACTGAGTTCAATTTTGAGCAATTTGATTTCGAATTGAATCTATGAGCTGCTTTTGTTTTGCTTTTGGAATTAATTTCGAAAGGGAATGTTGCAGTTTAAGAATGCAAAACCAGTGGAAGGAATCTTATTTGGTAACCAGAAGAATCTAGCACTGATCCAACAGAGTCTATTAACACCAGCATCATTGGATAAACAGAGAGCTGAGTTAGCTAGGAAGCATGTGAGAGCTCTTAATAACCAATTTGTAAGGTGAACAATTGTGTTTTTGAAAAAAGATTATCTTTGCGCTTGTTGTGTATTTTATCATTTTATGTAGTTTATGAAATCATGTTTAACTTGTTTTGTTTATTTACCTTCAATAAGAGTTTGCTTATGCTTTAATGTAAAAACAGTTGGGTGCAGTTACAGCTGAAGAATCATCCTGATGAACTTTGGGAAGATGGGATGAATGACTACATTGCACATGCGTCAAACATTCTGGTATATACTCTAATTACATGACTCTTCCTCTTAACGTTTAATATGTACTTGGTTTTTCCTGAATTTAGAGGTCTCGTTTTCTCAAAATGAAAAAATTTGTTTAAGTAGGATGGTTCTGATTTGACTCATCAAGAATGCTAACTCTTCGTGTCTCTTACTTGTTTTGTGCTAGACCTTTTGTTTAGTACACTAGCTCATCAGTTTTCGAATTCATGTCAAATCTCGTGCAGGAAAAGTTTAAGGATGTGGTCAACTGGCTAAAAGAAAATAAGGGAAAGGGGGAGAATGTATCCCCTGAATCTCGTGGAGCAGAGAAGAAATTAGTGGCTGAAGTCAAGAATAGTGATGTTAAGTCAGTTTCAAATAATAGCCTATTTGGTTCAAACAGTCAACCTGGGCACTTTTCAAACAATCAATCTTCCAATTTTTCCAGTAGTCAGTCTGGTTTCTTTTCAAGCCAACTTGGAGCATTCTCCAGCAGTCCTTCTGGTTTAACATCTAATAGCCAGACTGGATCTTTTAGCAGTGGCCAGTTTGGTACAAAAAGCAGCCAACCTGGAGCATTCTCCAGTAATCCTTCTGGTTTAACATCTAATAGCCAGACTGGATCTTTTATCAGTGGCCAGTTTGGTTTAAAAAGCAGCCAACCAATTCTATCTTCCGGCAGTCAAGCAGGAACAATATCTACTAGCCAACCTTCTTATCAATTTTCTAATAATCAACCCCCTTTTACATCTGGAGGTATCTACTTTTCCATTAGCAGAATACATTTATTGGACTTGTCATTGACCAGCTTTGTATCTTTAGGACAATAGTTCAAGAGACTAACCTCTACTTTCCTTGTTTGCTGGTATTAGTAACTCCAGTGTCCATACAGGCAAAGCGGGATTCCACAGATGATGCGGACGGTGGTGAGTTGATCATATACTGTTTTCTTCCTATTTGTTTTCGTGTTTCTTTGAAAGGTTATGTTTGGAATACTCAATTTTTTTGCAACCCACGATCTTGAATCCTTGATCTACTTATCTATTATGAAGTTTAACTTACCTAGAGGAAATTATCTATTACAAATCTTGAGGCATAATGGACTTGTAAACATTGGATTCTTTTGACGTGGCAGAAGACGAACAACCTCAACCGAGCAGCCCATCTGTCAAAAAGGCTGAAGAGAAGGGTGTTACTGTGGTTCATGAAGTCAAATGCAAACTTTATGTCAAGGTATTCATCCTCAGAGTCCTCTTAGGTGTCATAGTGCTTGTGAAGTAGTTTCTTTCTCTACTTTAGTTAGCTTGACATTCTGTTCTTACTGATGACGCTGTAAGCTTTGTATCTGTGATATTGTACAGTCAAATGACCCAACGGATAAAGGGTGGAAAGATAAAGGAACTGGGAATCTCTACATAAAATGCAAAGAAGGCGTCGACAAGGGGACAAAAGAATCAAAACCCACAATTCTTGTCCGAAACGATGTATGATTCAGTAGACACACACTTCACATTCAACTTGGTCTACAGATTTCCAACATTATAAACATCTTTTCTTGCCAGGTTGGAAAACTGCTTCTGAATGCACTACTGTACACGGGAATCAAGACGAGCACACAGAAGAACGCCCTTGTTGCAATATTCCACTCCTCGGTAAATAAAAGCCGCTAAAGCTTCTTCTTTAGCTTTTTCATGGTGGTTTTGTAGTTTCTCTGATTTTGTCTACCTGCAACAGGAGGATTCTAACGAGAATGTAACACCGAGAACCTTTCTGATAAGAACAAAAACCGCAGAAGCTAGAGATAAGTTAGCAACGGCCATCCAAGAATACGCCCCTTCTTCATAGATTGCCCAAAGCCAGGTTGAAATCTTCACTGTACCTTTTAAAAGACTGTATTGAGTCGTCCTCTCTCTATATTTTTTTCCTTGATTTGTAATATTAGGAAGGCTCTTAAGATTAACGTAAAGCTTGATAAAGGGCTTAAAAATGTTGTATGGCGCTGAGAGAGGGAGAGCGAGAGAGAGAGAGAGAGAGAGAGAGAGAGGGCCAAAGGTGGTACTTCGTAGCTTATTAGAGAATGTTGTGCCAATCTTTTTTGTAACTTATAAAAACCAAACAATAAAATCACTTCTTTTTATAACAATTTATCTGATTGAAATATGACTAATAGAATTATGCAGAAAACTGGAATTAATAAACTTATCAGAAGGGATATATTCTATCAATTTTCATTCATCTCAAATAAAAATAAAGAGGCTACATTATATTCTAGCTTTATACAAAATAGAGCGATACAATCAAAAGATCAGTGAAGAGCTGATCCATATCTAACATTCTCCGTTTTCCTTTTGTGATCTATGAATGACAAAACGATCGACTATCTTTACCGTATTAACAGGGTCTTGTTGGGCAGTTGAGGCACACCATTTACTTGGAAACTTTCTCTCATAGCTCATCTTGAAACTCTGTTTCGGCTCTGAATCCCAATCTTTGTCCAGTTTCCAGTCTTTTGGCACCTAAACTCATACAATATAACACCTCTTTGGTTAACGTTCCTTAACCATGCTTTTAACAACTAAGAAATCAATAAATAAGAACTAATGACAGAATCCATAACAGATTGGTTCATTAAGAAGCAGCAAGCAGCGGTATCAGGTGGCCAACTGTCGCAAGTAGAGGTTTTTTTTTACCTTATCAACTGCAAGCGTGAAAACTTCGATGTCTCCATCTTCTAGGATGTGGAAACGGGTGAAAGATTTGTAATTGGCAATGCGGAGTGAAGAGAAAGCTTCATCAAAGTGTAGGTGGAACCAGTTGATGCAGATATACAAGTAGCTTCCAAATACCATAGACACGACAGGAGTTGAGAAAACCCAAAAGTAAAGGAAGACAGAAGCATAATAGATAACAGCTCCGCTTCGGGAAAGTGATTCCATTCCATGTTTGCAAATGTTGGTCCGGGTAACCGCCATCACCTGATGTTAAAGTACTCAGGTTGATGATTCAAATTGGATCTTTGGTTTATCAAAACAGAGACAAAACACAGTGCATTACTTACCTCAGGAACATCAAATGCTGACATAAGATACTTGATGCACGCAGGATATAAGCCAAATGTCCATTGTTCGATACGGGCTCGAAGGCCAGTAGGGTCCGGGAAATGCTCATTCTCCACTGATTTGTACCACTCATATAATGTATGATACCCTGCTTAAACAAAAATGTAAAGAGTCACAAAATCAATCAAGGCCACATCACAGAAAATTTCACTCAGTCAAAATTATCTGTTGGCGTTGATGACATCGTGATGAGTCAAGATGGTAGTTCATTATGCAATAAAACAATGCACTTTGGTATGAAAACCCAACCAGCTGTATATGGAATGGAAACTGACCAGAATTTGCAAGGAGATTATGCTGAATACAGATTTCTATGCCCAGTTCCAACATCAACATGAGAATCAGAGCTGCCATCAGGTGAGCAGCAACATGAAGAACTCCAATTAAAACCCTTTTCTTCGGAGATACTTTTGAGGGGACAAATGTAATTGCAGTTATCAGCAACATCAAGACACCGGTAAAAGACACATAAGATTGTTCCATCACATACGCAAAGGCGCTCCAAACTGTGCCTAAGAAACTCTCCAGGTGACCAGAAAACGAATCACCTCGTAAGACGTGAGCTAGCTTACACTGAAACCAAAGACGAACAAGAAGGAATGAGATTGCAGTGTTCTTGTGAGCCTATATGATTGTTCTCAAGGAAAAAAACAAATCTCTGTATATGCAAACCTAGCAAAAAGAACTGCTATAGCATATAAAATACCTATCTCAGCTACCCAATCTATTACTGGATGCAATGTTTAATGGGATGAGCTTAATACGCACCTGAGGGAACAATGAAAAGACCAAGATAAAGTATATAATGCCACCAATGAAATCAAATTGCCAGTTCTTTTTCCGGAATTTCAAAATATTTCCCAAAGCAATCTGCAAACGAAAGAAAACACCATTTAATATCCGAATACTATGAGAAGTTGAAAACAAGGCAAGTTCGTGATAGTAAACTTACTTTGCTTGAATCATCAAAAGAGGGGTAGGCAACCTTGCTTCCATAGGAGGCCCCATAGAACTTTGAAAAGTTGCTGAACACATGAGTGGGATGCAGAAAAGCTCCTCCACAGCCATTAACAAGAAGATGTTGGACATGGGCAGGTCCATCTGATTGATTACATGAATGCCGCATATAATGATGCAAATCCCCTGCCATTCTAAGTTTGCACCTGTATTTCAAAACATCGCATATCAGATGTCTCACGTTCTTCCCTGTATCGCCGCTCCAGTACCAATCAAGAAGCCAGTTTGGTTCATGCGTGATAATGATCACAGCATCATTCTCACCAACCTGAATGAGAAATATTAATTTTATTAAAGCAAAAAAAATTGAAAATTGAGTAATATGAAAAGACAAAGCCACTAAGATATAGCCTAATCCACTTGTTAATGGCACTTCAGAAACAAAAGACATCACAAATCTATACCAGAGTAATACAGTATATAGTAAGTACTAAGTAGAAAGCCAAATAATGGTAGAACTATAACTAGGTGACGCAAACTATTTAAATTGCATCTATAAATCTATATAAAGCATGGGAAAGAAAAATGTTACACAAACTACCTTGTCCTTCGCCAATTCGGAAAAGAATTTGAACTGGTCGACATCAATATCACCATGAAGTGCAAGATCCAAACCAAACACCCACCATCCCTTGGGGAGCTGCAGGGCAAAATAGCTTTTCTTCTGGGGCATTAGCCAGCCGCCTAACCAACTCTTATGGCATATATACCTCATGAAAGTATTGAGTCCGTCAAACCAGTCTACGAAATAATAAACAATAATTAGAATAGTTAAGAGGAGATGAAAGAAGCAACCGAGTATGCATGCAGGCATGTGAAACAAATTATTTTTGAAAGATAAATGAAGCTGAGACCTGAAACTCACCATGGTTTCCAGGGATGAGAAAACATTGAGGACCTTCATAACTCTTCAGATCAGACACTCCGTTGGGTAATTCAGGCTTGTCAACAGCAATAGAGTCATTTTTATACCAACGGGGAGGCTGCAGCGCATACTCAAAAGGACAAAAGAGACGTTTTTCATATGTAAAAGTTGACGGATTTGGGTATCTGGAGAAAGCATCCATGGTTAGATTTAACAAAAGCTTGGGAATATGTAAATATTTACATATAATAAGTAAAGCACTTACGCAAGATCTCCTCCAATAAGCAGTACATTGCCCCGTGGAAGAGATATAAAATTATTAGCCACTGGCACTCTGAGAGAAGGCTGAGCAAGAAGTTTTGCAACACTATATGATGAATTCCCACCATCGCCAGTATCCGCCATGAAATCAAACCAAAAATCTTGCTTATCAGCAAGGTGATCATATAAAAGTTCCTTCCTCCCAGTTGCATCACCAGATTTGGTCATTGCAGCCTAAAGATTTGGCACAAAGGAAAGCAGCAAAAAAATTAAATGCAATTATCTTCAATGTCTATCTGCAGAAAGATAAATGACCTGATCATATCATAAATTAAAAAGGTATACCTGCAGCATCCGCATATCAAAGCGGCCAACAAATACTGTCACTGACACGAGGAGGTCAAACACAGTTTTAAACAAATCAGCCGATGTTCTGAAAATATATAATTAGATAGGTCAGCACCTAGTCAAGTGTCCTGTCTTCATCATTTACTCACCACATTGAGACAATGGTAAGCGGAAAGGGGAAATCTTAGTTTAGCATTGACATACCCTGAATACCAAGGAACCATATCTAAGAAATCAGGTTTCAATTGCTGATTCTTCAACTTCTCATACTTGTCGACTGACAGAGGGTGTGTTAGAGCCCACCTAAACAGCATATTAAAACTTTAAGATTAACATGCCATTTGAATGTAAGACCAAAGTTGTTCATATGAATGTACTGTTGATCCTCAATTGCAATATTACTTTGACAGGTATTATGCCATAGATAACTTACCCTGTTGATCTCTCCACTACATAATTGGCAATGTAAAGACCGATAAATGTGGCCCACAACGAGTATATAGGAGAAATTTCGTCAGCTGAATCAGGACATGATCCGTTGCATGCAATCTGCAAATAACAAGGTAGGAATAGGACAAAAATTAATGGGTGAACAAATAAAACATATTCACAACTCGTTACAACAGTTTAAGAAGAGATACCTCCCCGTAGATGAACCATTTGGATAACAGTGGATAATCACTTGCAGATCCAACTGGAGCAAACCACGACGAACACACTTGGTCTTTCAGCTCATTCATACGAATGAATTTTGCAAGCCAGGTATTGTGCCTATGTTCTCTTTTCCAAAATGAAAACCAGCTAGAATACTGTCTTCCAAGTGGTTTTTGCCTCAGAATAGCTCGATTACCACAATGGCTGTAAAATATACAGCAAGCCATGCTAAGAACCTGCAGAGATGAAAGACATGAACACATTAATTTTTCTATGAAAGACAATATTTTAAGCAAATAAGTGGCTTTAATGTGCAAGACTGGCAATGGTGAACTTACAGCGCAGTTTTGAAGAATGGTTAAGATCTCTGGGCGTCTTCCAGCCACGCGAGAAACAAGACCAACATACCAAAGGCCAAGAAAAATGATGTGGAAGACAACAAGGAAGAGTATGGAAGATATGTAAATTGTTAGAAACAAGGACAAATTCATCCTCAAATCCAAACCCATTGACTGAAAATTTGGAAGATGATACAAAGCTGCAACTAAAATCCAGGCAATGTACCTACACCAAAACAACGATTTAGGAAATTTTATAGAGTGAAAATCGATATTGATATTTTCAGAAGATGGAATTCACAGTTGCTTACCACCGACTGAAGTTTGAATAATTTGGTCTGATAGTCTTCTGGATAAATGGAGAAGAAAAGAAGTAGAAAAATCCGAGCAAGCATGCATACATGGACCACCACTTGACTGAAAACTTTTCTATGAGGGTTTGCATGTTATCCGATGAAATAAAGAATAGGCAACCAAACAATACAGCAATGATAGCATGACGTGAATGCTCATGCGGATAAGGGTAGGTATGGGTTAGAATCGTTCTGACCCTCTCCATTGGGAGAGAATTATATAAACGAGCAGAATGCCCGTCAGAGACCATAGCATATGATTCGTATAACTTTCGTCCTTGAATTTCTTGATGACAGTTTAAATCTTGACAGGGCTAGGAATGGTTAATGAATAAATTTGAGCTTCCGGTTTCTAGTTCAGCATACAAAACCTTGTGCCTAAGGAAACAAGAAAAAAGAGAAGAATATAGTCAGCACAGTATGACCCAGTAATGTAACAGTAATACAGTATCCATGAACTAATTTTTCGATGCAATGAAGTATTAATGATGGAGAAAACAGCCAAGATATTAGACTTCCGACTCTGAAATTCAATTGACATCTGAATTACACAAGTGGCCAAATCTTACAATAAAAGCATTCAAATTTCACTTAAAATAGAAGCTGAACTGCTATCGGACATGAAGCTACACTCTTGATCCGTGAATTCCAAAAGTTAGTCACAGATACTAGAACTACTACTAGCCAATGTATATGACCCATCAAGAAGAAATAGCCAAGAACACAAGTCTACTTCTGCCAGACATCTAATTAACACATTCCCAGATATACAATTAGTATTTCAATTCTTACTTAAATATCATCGACTGTCAACAACCCTGAAGTTACTTAATTTCCTCAGTTTTATCTCATACTATGTAGCAACTCGTATATAATCAAAAGAAATGGTCAAAACACTTAAAACCTAATAAGCAAAGCAACTACTTATCACCTTCACTATGTTTAAAAGTCACTTCGTTCAGATTAAGAACATACCAATCAATATCACTAAGAAACACACAACAACTAACTCCATAGAAAGAAAGTAAGGTAAAGCTAAAGAACAAACCAGAATTGGCAATTCCAAAATGGGAAAAAAAAAACTTACATCATCTAAATTCAATATTACATAAGATAAAAACTCTGACCCATCAAAAAGAAAACAAAACGCAATAAATTGGGATTTGAAAATCAGTAACATGCAACACAACACAATCCAATTTCAAAGCTTTAGACTTTATTGAACTCGAGAATTGATAAAAACCATACCTTTAAGCAGCGGTGAATCGGACCGAACAAGAATGAATCAAGGTGAATCTCGGTCGTTTCAAGGTAAATCAAATAAATTGATGAACTCAAATCAATGTAGTGGTGCTTAGAGCTTACCCCAAAAATTCAAAAGAACCCTAAAAAAAAAAAAATGATGTTTTGGGAAATTGGAATCACAGAGAGAGATTATTATCAATGAATGATCTCTCTTTGATGAGTCAAGCGTAGAAACGAATTACGTGGCTTTGGTTTTTTATAGTGCTATTGTTGAAAAATCTCTGCTTTTTTTTTTTTTGCTTTTTTCTGAGAGAGAGAGAGAGAGAAGAGGAAAAAAAAATGAAAGAGGCGGTTACCAAATGATCACCATTTTTGTTCGAGCTTTATTTTTTTTATTTTTTTTAAGTATAAATAAATAAGAATAAAATAATACAAAAATAGAAATTATTGGAGGGAATCAACGAATAATTCCATTGTACCTTCAAAAAATGTCCGAATCTTTTCTGTGTAAATTCATTTCATTACAAGATAATTTGCGTGTACATTTTTATACAACTTGTAATCGAAGCAATGTAATAATCTATATTTTCTCAGTTACATGTAATAATTTTTATAATCTCTAATTTCTTATTGAGGTGTATTTATTCGATGGCAAACTTTTTTTATATAAAATGTGACGTGTCAAAATATGATTGGCCAGGTGATTTGATTTGATTGTATATTGTATAGAAACAAAATAATAGAGTGTATGTTGTTGGCAAATATTAAATGACTTGTGTTGACAAAAACAATAGTTAAGACTTCTATTTTCACACAAAACTGGGTCATTCTTAACGAATTAAATTAAGAAAAGAAAATCAAAAAGACACTAAAAAGAAAGCAATGTAAGAAAAATTATATATATTAGGTTTTCTATTTAAATTGAAAATGAACTACTATAGCAAAGTAACACGTAATGTGACTAGGTGTGAGTCAAGACGTAAACGCGTTAGGTGAAAGAGATTGCAAAAGTTGATGCACTCAAAACACATGCAATGTCTTTGGGCTGTGCACATTACATTTAATTAAGCTGCATACATTAATTAACCCCATCCAACTACATTCGTATATTTTCTTCTCTTCTATATATTTCCGATTTTGATCTCTTTCTTTTGTCAACATATTTTAGATTTTGATTACTTCTCATTTTCTGTATCATGGATTCACATCATTTAAATCAAACATAAACATTGTTTTAAACTTCAAATGTTGGCATTGTTTTAAACTTCATCCATCGATAGAGTATCTTTGATTTTGTGATATTTGTGATTTTATTCTTCACAAATTTTGCTTGAAGTTTTTGTGATTTTTCTTCATCATTTGTGATTTTATTCTTCACAAATATCATCAAAAATGTTAGATCAAAATATAATACTAATACTTCGAATATTTTTTTGTGCACAATTCAGATTCAGATGATCATATTCTAAATTCATGGTTACACCTAAAAAAAAAAGCTTAGCAAATATGAAAACCTAGCTAGTCCTATAATTTAGACTGCTTAATTACGCTGATATAAAATAATTGATCAGTCAGTGATCTAAACTTTCATCACTACTGGAATTAAAAAAAGCCACGTAACAAAAGTTGATCAAGTGATGACTGATGAGCATGTTACTTACGTTGCCACGTTTCATTTTTTTTCTTTCGACATTAGGTTAGTGGTTGTACGTATATGCTCGATAATTGGACGGTGCTCTACTTCAAGGTTTTTTATCATTTCAAGTATGTGGCACTTGTCCTGTCGAATTAGTAATTTAAAGGTTTTTTAGCTGATATGATCACTTTCCGAGCATAACTCCATGTTATATAAAAAAAAAATCATGTGTAACCTTGGTTGCATAGAAACTCCGTCGACTTTAAATTGATAGATAACTTTATTTTTTCGTTCAAAAAAAAAGGTATATAACTTTATTTTTATGTATTAAGAAAATTATATCGCAAATATAAATTGTAGGAGTAAATAATTAATACTCCATTGTTGATGTCTCAAAAAAGACAAAGTAACACATACAAATCTATTATGAATGCGGTCGTCATTTAAACACGCATAAACAAATTAAGTGTGGTTAATCGATTGAGATAACGATTAAAGGAGGAGAGAAATAGCGGTACAATATATGGACTAAAAGGGCTTATGTATTCCACCGATTGATGCAAAGGTATTTTCGTGTTTTTAATTACTTCATTAGTACATGTAGATTGGACTTCGGTCTTTGCTGATTGTGAGGACTGATGAGGAGCATATTGGCCGGAGTTCGTTTGAATTATAAAGAAAAAACCAAGCGTCGTTAGCTCAACTGGTAAAGGCCCTAGGCGAAGCTTAGAAGTCGCCGGTTCAAATAACGTTTGGAACAAAACTAATATTACATGTTGTGGTTTTGGGTCTGGGGAGATTACGGGTTTTGGTACCGAACGTCCTGGTATTCAAAAAAAAAAACAAAAAAATACTTATATATATGGTTCAATTCCGCATATATATTGCATGTTAAACAAGAAAAAAATATATAATTTGTAATAATATCTTATTATTTATATTTCTGTAGAATGTCTTATAAATATTTATATGCTGTACATTAGTCGATTTTACTATTGACACTTAATTTTTTGTAGCTAGAATAATTTTGACATCGATACATAGAATTTCAGAAACTATAACATTGCATAGTAGTTTACTACAAATTTAAGTTTTTTTTTTTTTTTTTAAATGCTTATCCATTAATTACTACCTAAAAAGATATTCATCGACAAAGTAGATTGTTACAAATACAAAGTTTAATTTTGAAAAATTACCTTCTCAAATTATACTTATTCAACAAAAACTTATTTTTCCCTTATCTCAAAAAGGAAAGAAAAATAAAATGGATAACGACACAAACTTGAATCTCTATCCGAATCTATCTCTCCCGTTATAAATACCCCACAGAGCTTAGGGCCATTGTTTTTTTTTTCATTTTCTTTCCTCTCATTTTTTTTTTCTTGGTGAAAATAGGGTTAATAAGAGAAAAAAACCCCGAAATATTAGCGTTATTCATAATTAAACAACAGAGAAAATCTGGGGTTCTCTTTTTCTCGGGGCTTTTTCAACTTTTGAGGTATATTATAGTCTCTTTTTTTCTTTTTCTTGTTTTTTTTTTCTCTGCCTGAAAAAAAATGATGAGTTTTCAGTAATCTTTTGAAGATTATAATTTTCTGAAATTTAAATTCTTTGACGGCTTGTTACATTGATTGGTAATTCCTGGATTTAAAGCTGGTAATCAAAAGTGCTCTTCGTTGTTTGCATTTTAATTTTGCCCATTTGGTTACCGGAGAAAACGAGGGAAATCATAAGTCACTAGGATACATATATTTTTTGGTTTTATTGAATTCTTTCATTTGCTTTCTTGTTGTTTATTTTTGTTTATTTTTTTTAATACCTGGAATCTGTTTTATATGCTGAGAAAACACTGGAAAATGCCAAGAAAATAGAAAAATCCAAGCTGGGAAAATCCCGTTTTCTTTTAAAAAAAAGTTTTTTAAAAGCGTCGTAATCACTAATCACGAGTATTATATGATGTTAGACACATTATCAATAGCCGTTTTCTTAAAAGTTCAATTTTTTTAAAGCTGTATATTCAATCGATAATTTCAATTAATTTCTCTTTGTTTTCTAAACTCTTCTGGTTTTCTCAGAATCTAAATTCACCAAAAACAAATACGGAGAAGAACAAGAACAACAAGAGGTACCATACATTTTATGATTTTGCTTAATTTTTGTTTATTTTTCTTTGATTATAAGTTGACTCTTTATTGAAAGAAAAAGCAATCAATAATCAAGTTATTAACTTTTGACTTGAAAATTTTAAGTCTACAAAATTTATTGATACATTTGTTAACAAAGAAGCTTTGTAGTATATTTATACTTGTATAACAAGTTTAGTCTTAATGTAATTACTCTCTCTCTTTCTAGCTAATTTTGGTTTTGGTTGCTGTCTCTGATTCTTGTTTTGTTGTAGAAAATGGTCGCCTTTGGAAAAAAGCTCAAGGAACGCAGCATTGAAGAATGGCAAGAGTATGTTTCTATAATATTCAAGATTTGGTTGGTTTTAAGTTTATGGCAATGTGATTCATCTGCTTGCTTCTTTGGATTCCTCTGTAGATATTACATCAATTACAAATTGATGAAGAAGAAAGTGAAGCTATATGGTCCACAAATCGAAGTAGGAAGTCTAGATCGCCGTCATGTTCTTAAAGATTTCTCAAGGATGTTGGATCATCAGGTTTTTTGTTTTCCTTCACAAAACTTAGCTGTTTTCATACAAAACATCAAACTTATTACATACCCATTTTGGCTTGTAGATCGAGAAAATCGCTCTTTTCATGTTGGAGCAACAAGGCTTGCTTTCAAGTAGGTTACAAAAGCTAAGGGAATGGCATGATGCTCTCCAAGATGAGCCTGACTTATCTGAGATATCTAAGCTAAGAGAGGCTTATAGATCCGTGGGACAAGATCTTCTCAAGCTTCTGTTTTTCATCGATATGAATGCTATTGGTATCCGCAAGATACTAAAGAAATTCGATAAAAGATTCGGTTATCGATTCACAAACTATTATGTCAAGACTCGCGCTGATCATCCTTACTCTCAACTTCAACAAGTATTTAGACATGTGGTAAGGTCTATAAACCTCACAAAGCCTAATCTGCCACTATAACTGAAGCTTAACGATTATATCGAACTTTCTAGGGTCTTGGAGCTGTTGTTGGAGCCATATCGCGCAACCTTCATGAGCTTCAAAACAATGAAGGAAGCTACTTATCCATTTATGATCAGCCTGTTCTTCCTCTTCAGGTTTTTTTTGTGACATTAAGATAAAATTATTACCATTTCATCTATAAAATTTATGTCATTTTTCATACAAAAGTAGTAATAATATAAAGGACAAAAACAAAAATCAGTGGGGGGCACGTGCACCCATTGGTACCTAATACGTACGTCCTTGTGACAAATGTACATCATCAAGCTTTGCCAATGCAAAACCTATAAGTAGTTTAGTTTCATCGTTCTCTGTTGTGTTTTTATTGTCTTGGCAGGATCCTGTAGTGGATTCGATTAAGAATGCAGTGGACAGGCTAACACATTCAACAAACTTTCTTAATTTCATGGCTCAACATGCTTTAATCATGCAAGACGAAGACCTACTAATGATTCCTGCAGACGAGCAAGCTGAACAAGAAGAAGGGAGATATCACTTCATGTCTCTATTGTTAAACTTGGCCAACACGTTTCTTTATATGGTCAATACATATATTATTGTTCCTACAGCTGATGATTACTCCATGAGCCTTGGAGCAGCAGCAACGGTTTGCGGTGTTGTTATTGGTGCTATGGCTGTTGCTCAGCTCTTCTCTTCTGTTTACTTCAGTGCTTGGTCTAATAAGTCTTACTTCAAACCGCTTATATTTAGTAGTATTGTTCTTTTCTTTGGGAACTTGTTATATGCTTTGGCTTATGACTTCAATTCATTAGCACTTCTCTTGATTGGCCGGCTTTTCTGTGGGTGAGTCTCTTTTTAGACTTGTGTTATACGTTTTGTTTTCATGAGCATTGGCTTGATGATCATGTTTATCGGTTTTGTAGATTTGGTTCGGCGAGAGCAGTGAACCGGAGATATATAAGCGATTGTGTGCCGCTGAAAATCCGAATGCAGGCTTCAGCGGGTTTTGTTAGTGCAAGTGCTCTAGGAATGGCGTGTGGTCCTGCTCTTGCTGGTTTGTTGCAAACAGATTTCAAGATCAAAAATGTTACATTTAACCAGGATACATTACCTGGTTGGGTTATGGCTGTCGCTTGGCTATTGTACTTAGTCTGGTTAGCTATTTCGTTTCGGGAACCCGCACGTGAGCCTGAAGAGATTCATACTTCACAAGAGTCTAACTCCGGTATGGAACTAAAGAGAAATAGCTCTGTTTTTCTCTATATTCTTATCTGATTAAAGCGAATTATTGTGGTGAAGCTGATCAAGATGGAAGTATGGAAAAAGGTCTTAAAAAACCGCTGTTGCTTGCATCAGAAGAAACAGAACAGGATGAAGAAGATGACGGTGATGGAAGCGAAGAATCTTCTGATGATTCCCGTAAACCTGCTAATTCCTTTGTAGCTGCTTACAAACTACTCACTCCTTCAGTGAAGGTGACTAAAACTTAATTTATCTCTAACATAAATTCAATTTACTAAATCTTGAATGTTCAATTTTTCTTTTATTGCTTTTAGGTTCAATTGTTGATCTACTTCATGCTTAAGTATGCGATGGAGATTCTACTATCAGAATCAAGTGTTGTTACCACATACTACTTCGGTTGGTCCATGAGTTCTGTTTCCATCTTCTTGTTCTGTCTCGGTCTCACCGTTCTACCGGTTAACCTCGTTGTTGGAAGCTATATCAGCAACATGTTTGAAGATCGGTAAAAATCCTCGTATATGTTCTTTTCTTGCTTTTTTCGCCTTGCGGGTTACCTTAAAATGTGAATTTCTTGTTACAGGCAAATTCTGCTGGCGTCAGAGATTATGGTCTGTATCGGAATACTTCTCAGCTTCCATGTAGTAATCCCTTACACTGTGCCACAATACGTTTTCTCAGGATTCATCATGTTTGTTTCTGCTGAAGTTCTTGAAGGTAAAAGATTGATACAAAACTTTAGAAATCGTTTTCAAGATCAAAACATTTATGAATCTCTTACGTTCTTGAAGGTAAAAGATTGAAACCTTTCCTCTTTATCATTTGAAAACATGTTGTTTTGGCCGGGATTTTGCAGGTGTGAACTTATCGTTACTATCGAGAGTGATGTCATCGAGGCTGTCACGAGGGACTTACAACGGAGGGTTACTGTCGACGGAAGCTGGCACGATCGCACGTGTGATAGCGGATGCGACAATCACTTTGGCTGGTTTCTTGGGACAGAGTATGCTTTTGAATGTTACTCTGCTTCCTTCTTTGATCATCTGTGTTGGGTCTATCGTAGCTACTTGTTATACTTATAATTCCTTGTATTAGTGCTTCTTTCACAGTTCATAGAAATTCAGCTTTTGAGATTAAGCTAACTCATAGGTCTGATTGTTTCTCTTTTCTTTTGGCTTTTACTTTGATCTCTTAGTGAAAGTTTTGTTTGCTCTATGTTTATTGTAGAACCATTAATGACAATTACTTTTGATTTTCTTGGTTGTACAACTTGTACTGTTTATTGTTATTCGTTTAATGATCTTAAGTGGGTTTAACACTTAAACCAAAGTTAAAAGTTTGGATTTAAAGTATTCTAATATTTATCTAATTATAAAAGCAAAAAAATCTTTTGGTGAAGCTGTTGAATATGGAACTATGGAGAAAGATCTAATCGCATTCTTCAACACATTGCTAGATGTAACATTAGTTCATGCAACAAACCATCTTAGCTTTCGTCGAGGTGATCCTTCACCTTCTAGACTGAGATTAACCATTCTTCGACTCTCGGTGAGTTCTAGATCAGATTCGTGCGTTTAGTCCGATAAGACCAGAGTCCGGCCTTTTTTTGGATCCCCTTGACTCATTCACTTTATGATTTACCTTACGGTTTACTCTACCTATTAGTAATCCCTAACTTAGTTAAAAAAACACAAACATACAAAATAGCTTTTCAATAAGTTCCAAATTATCATTTGCATGAGAGAGTAAATCAATAGTAAATAAAAACAGAGCATACATTCCTTCTTTGTCCCTAAATCAAAGTAACAACAAACTTATAAAACGATTAAAATGGTGCAAAGTAACATAACATTTTCAGGAGATTTATGATTTGTTCCTTTCAAGAATCAGTGTCCATTGGCTATGGATCCATCATCACCTTTCTTGCCATAGAATCTCCGGTACAAGGAATCAACCTCTTTCAGATAATAAGTTCCCGGTGCCAAAAGGTCTATTATACCCTCCTTGCTTGTCACAAAGTCCTTGGCTCCATATCTATGTTCCATTAGCTTCATTGTCTCCACAAACTTCTCAGGTGCATACTGCAATAAACAAAGCCCCGAGTCAGAGATCAATGATTCAAGATTCAGGATATTTGAAGAAACGCGATTTTTCTACGGGATGTTCAATCTCGGTTTAACCAATCCAAACAGAATATAATGAATTGATTTGAATTCATTTCTTCCATATTGAAAATAATATCCATTCTTGTGTTACCTCATGTCTAGCCTTCAATTTACCGCCAACATCCATTACAGATGCGATGTTTGAAACGCTGAAAGGAGGCTGATTGTCGTTGAGGCGTAATGAGAACATTGTTGCGGTTGAGCCACTTCCATATGAGAACATAACCACCCGCTTTCCCGCCTATTCAAGAAGACCCAACACATATGGAACAAACTTCAAACCAAATGTAATGGAGTTCAATATAGTCAGAAGAAGCAAAGTTTGTTTTCTCTTATTACCAAATCGTTGTGTTTATTGTGGATGAGGGAAGCAAATGCAGCGTAGAGAGAAGCAGTGTACATGTTACCGACTTCCTTTGGTATTAAAGTCGTCGGTTGCACTTTAGCATCATAAAACGGTTTCGCAATTTGTTGTGACACCTGCAAAAGAGAAAACAGATCGAGCTATAAATCGATTTCTCTCGGTATCAAAAGCAAAGGGAAAGGGAAAAATGAAAACCTTTTCAAGATCACGGCTTTGGTAACTCTCATCGAGGGACAAAGATGAATAAGGGGTGAACTTTTCTTTGGCAGCCTCGTCAATGGAGCTGCAATAAAGGAAAGAAGATGTTACTCACGATCAAACAAGTAAAAGAACTTTTAATCCAAAGACACAATTAATAAGCAAGAACCTTGCGTTTCTCAAGAAGTCGTTGTACAAGAGACGAGCAAAGCTTTTCTGTACAAGCTGTAGTAGCAGAGAGGAGGACTGGTAAGAGACAATTCAAGTAGAACAATACAATTGTTGAAGGATTAAGAAAACTACTTTATTGTATGGAGAATGGAAAACAAAGTAATCAGCATCATTGATGGAAAACTCTTTGCCCTCGATTTTCTTGAACCTAGTAAAAACCAAATACTTGAAATGAGTCCCACACAACACCAGAAGAAAGAAACCGAGTTTTAGTAACCATGAAAAACAAAACACTTACTTGTTGCATAAATGTTTATAGCAAGAATCAAGAGCCATAAGGTAGCAAGTCTGTGAAAGCTTACCATCAACAACCTACAAGAACACAAGAAACGATAACCAATAAAAATTTGATTCTTCTTCATGCCAAACGCTTGAGTTTATGCATTGAAGATTTACCGGGTACTCGCTAGCAAGATTGGGCTTGTAAAAGTCATAGACATGAGCCATGTGGCTTCCTCTCAATTTGCTTTCGAAAACGATAGGAGCATCGGGTCCTATCAACATAGCAATCGCTGCAGCTCCTCCAGTGGGCCTTGCGGGTCCTTCTGCATAAACCTAAAAGCATTCAAATATAAACAGGTCAAGATTTATGCAAAGACTCTTAGGCGTAATAAGAAATATTTCCATGTAGATGTTATACCGCGCTGTCAGTACAAATGACGAGGCCATAACGTCCATCCCATGAGTTACTCTCAACCCAATTGACACAGTTTAACAAAGCCGCAGTTCCACCATAGCAAGCATTGGTCGAATCAACACCTTCGACATCAGTGTTTCCACATTTCTGCTCATTCCCAACATACAAACTTTTACTCTCTTTTCACACAAAACAACTTGACCGATCCTCGGATTTTCAATCGCAATTGAAGTCAAAAGAAAGTATAAATACCTCAAAGAGCTGCATCAAGAATGTCTTGATAGACTTGCTTTTGTCAATGACAGTCTCGCTTCCTACTTCAAGACGCCCGATTTGGTTCGGGTCAATCTTATACTTCTCGAAAAGTGATGTCACCGCATTGAAACTAAGAAACAGATCAATTCAGTCTTTGCATGACAAAACACACAAATGCAAACGAAAAACAGAGAGAAAACAAACCTCATAGAGATAACATCTTCAAGCTCAGTGCAAAAAGCTAAGCAATCTTGGCCAAGTCCAATAGTGTATTTCCCTTTGCTTGCTCCATCATGAGCTTCCAATGCTTCCTATGTACCAAAAGTAATACATTAACCAACAAGAGAATTAATATTTAGCAATTATAAACCACCAGTTTCAAAGATCAGAAAGTAAACTCAATCTCAAAAAGAACCAAAAAGATTAGCAAGAATCTAGAACAAAAAGTAAACTCAATCTCAAAAAGAACCAAAAAATTGTAAAAGAAAAAAGGTTTATACTTTTTGCAATTGAGACTTAATGAGAAATATCAGGATCAAGGACCTCAAAAACCTTCCTAATTTTCAATCAAATAGACACTCTTTTATCAAATCTCAGAGATCTCGATGTTGATAAATTTAATCAGAATCTTGATTATGATTTTTAAATGAGAAAAAAAAACAATTTTGAGCTTTTTTTTTCTGTCTTCATCATAAACCAAACTCCGCCGCCATTACAATAAAGAAGAGAGAAAACACAAGAAGCATTCGTATGTCTAAAATTAACGAGATTTTGAAACCCTGTTGGTAAAATCTCATAAAGTTTGAAGATTTATGAAATCAAACGTCAAAAATGGAGAATTAAACTATGTCCCGAAACGCAAAAAGATGCCACAACAGAAACAGAGTATATCAATGCAATAGCTTCAATAAACAGAGAGAATCGAAATCGAGAAAAGCTTGGACTTTTTACCTGTTGAACACAAGTGGGAGGGAAATAGATATCCATAGCCAAAATCCCAACGTTCTTCGCCATTGTTTCGATGAAAACGAAAAGAACTTATTTTTCAGAGACTGAAATCGAAAGGTTCGATCTTTGAGAGAGATTTGTGAAGCTGTAGAGGAAGAAGAAGATATGAATCGGTTGATGAAAACAGAAAATGAAAAAACTCAATTTGTTTAATAAACAAGTCCAGGAGAAATATTAGGGGACTTTCTTTTTTTATTATTATTTATTTCCCTAACAAAACTATATATTAGTTGTGCATTTTTTTTTATTTGGTCAACAAAATACTTGGTACAGTTGTACTTCATTTTCAAAATTCAAATTTAGAGTTTAAAACCAACAAAATGTTTGGATTATATTGGTGGAGAAACTAAAGTAATTGTAATATTTAATTGTGAGAAAAGGAACTTTTGGTTGTAAATTAAGATATTTTATATTTTTCTGGAGACAGCTACATGTGAAATAAAAGAAAATAAAATGTCCCATTAACAAACAAAAAAACAAAAGAAAATGGTTGTTTTGAAATAGAAAAATAAATATGTTTTTGTTTGAAATAATTTTAATTACCTGGAAAATGGATATAATGTGAGAGAGATTGTGGCAGGATGTGTTCTCCGGAATCTGGACAACGCAGACTTCGTGAGTTAGCTTAGCTCCCTCGTGCTTCTCTTTCTTTCCTTATTTACCCTTTTTCTTCTTCCTTATTTACCACTTTGCCACTCACTAATTTTGGTTTAGGTCTTTTCTTAGATGGTTTTTGGTTTGGTTCAAGTCTTTGGTTTGGTTCAAAAATGATAGAGTAGCTAGCTTTCTATAATAACTTGGCTTATACTTTGGTTAGGAAACTTGGAGTTAGGTTTAATCTATTTGGCATTTGGACTATCTTTGAATAAAAATATTTTATATCTTTAATTAATAAAATACTAAAATTATAAAAACATATAGTGTAGTTTTACTTACAAGTATGTATTTAAATCTTTTTTATTTTTTCGTTTCTTTTCATATTTTTGTTTTTTTTATCATATTTTAAAAATCATGAATTAGATCCTTCTACTTCTAGTCCTCATAAAGTAAATGTTACAACTTTGGACATGAACCCCAATAAGAATTTGACATGCCCCATATTCCAAAACTGCTAGAATATTGTGGGAGTAGCGGTAGTATATACCATGCAACATTTTTGAGAATTGGTTATACAGACTAGTTCATAAACAAAACTAACATTTGCCATATATCTATATTGTTTAAATAATTAAAACAAAAATCCAAGTGTTAATAGCTCAACTAGTAAAGATTCTCAGACAAAATTTAGTGATCGCCGATTTGAATAGCATTTAGGAGAGAACCATATAAAATACTATGGTTCCTAATCTGAAAGAATGTACTGATTTAGATCCAAAACTTCTTAGTCATTTAAAAAAAAATAGTAACATTTACTCCAAAAAAATCAAAACGAGTGACTTCGACCGGAAGAAAATACTCTAAAATACTATTTTAACTACTAAATTTTTAAATTAGTGATATAAGTATTTTAAGATTTTTTTCAGTCAATTGTAGCTATTACGAGGTGGATTGATAATGTATCCGATAACATTAATTGGTTAGATTAACTCCGAAGTCCGAACCAACTCAACACCATGAAAAAGTCATGAGTCATACATTAATTCACACACTATCAATAAATAAACCTCCTTAACTAATTTTGTATTTTATATTCTAAAACTATTGATTCTGTTTGTAATCTAGTTTATTAGTAGTTAATAAGTTGACGAGGTGTTATAGCTTCATCCACGAGAAACTAGCGCATATTAAGTCATCAACAACATTGAAACATCACGATTGCGTAAAACGAACAAAGATTAGTGGTTCCCATTTAATGTGTGAAGTTTTTATGCAAGTGTAGGACAAAGATCAATTCTTTTCATATATTAAAAAAAAAACTTGTATACATGATATAGTTTAGTCGTCTGTAAACGTTTTTTAATAGTTAAAAATCCGAATTTTTATGGATTTCGGAAATTAGTCATTTTAGCTTAGTAATTTTTTGGTTAGAGAAAAAAAAAATCAACAAAAAATGTAACTGTAATATTTTGGTGATTAGCTGTTAACTTTCAGACAGAACATGGTGGGAATTTGGAATCAATGAGTTTGGACTTTGAAACATGTGAAAACATTGTCGTTTTCATAAAAGCTCACAATCTCCCTAAGACCTTGGAATCTCCGCCACCGTCGGATTAAAATCTCATCATCATCCTGTACCGTCCGATTTGGTTACCAAAAATAGTCAAACACTATTAAAGAATGTACTATTTTACCAATTTCAGACCGTCTCTGAGATGAGTCGGACTACGCTGACGTCACGATTTTGTGGGACATAAAAGTGATGACACGATCGATGGTTACACAAACTCGTGGTTATACACGTGAGGGGGTAGGTAGGTTCGATACTATTTCACTATCTTCAATTATTGTATCAGACTTGTATTTGATATATCTAATATCTAAAGACATTTTATAACTTTTTTTTGTTAGAAATATTGTAGAGACATACTGAAAATAAAACAATACTTCCTTCATGTTCAATTAAATTTCGTTGTTAAATTACTCATAAATTACTTTTACTAAAGTGTGTTTTATTTCTTCAACCAATTTTTTCAGTTAAAAAAAAACTTTAATGTATATGTTTTTCGTCGAGATTCTTGCATTTATTGATTGAAGGCATTAGCTTTATATACAAAATTTACATGAGACAATACTTAACCTAACTACAACCAATAAGGCTGAACATACTAACAAGGCTGAACACAGCCCAATAAAAAAAAGTTTACAAAAAGCAAAAAAAAAAATTGGTTCTGGATCAAAGGAGATCTTCAACTGACGATTCTAAATGTACGACATCCCTGCGATGGATATGCTTTCCTCGCAACACTCTAGACCATTACAAACAGCTCTGCATGCGGTATCCAATAAACTATGCATCATTATTTTGTAAGAAATTGTGTTTTTCTTAGAATTGTATTCCTAAGTTTAGTATAGTATTAGTCCAAAAAAAAAAAAAGTTTAGTATAGTATTAATAAATCTTTTGTCCTAGGACTTCCAATTTTTTTTTAAAAAAATTCTATTTTGAAGCTGATAAAGTCATCTTCGAGAGTTTGTGACATCTTAATCATCTCGAAACAAATGTCTTAAATTTCACATTGTCATATCTTGATATTTGAGTAGAGATTGGTTTGAAACAACTTTATAATATTATCTTCTAATCAACTAGATAAAACTAATTTAAATAAATTTATTTGTTTTAAATTTTAAAAATATTGTATTGAAAATAATCAGACCTGAAGTAGCAGTTAGAAAAAAGAAAAAGAAAAATGCATTTGATAAATGCATTACATAGTTATAATGAGTTTCTGTAGTTTGATTGCCGACGGTCCCCTTTCGTAATTGTGAACTTTGTGTCCTTTTATCATATGAATCAATATCATTCAGTCGAAAAAAAAGAAAAAAAACGGGTTCAAAACACACACTATGATAGATCATAGATCAATTGAAAAATTGTAACAAAAATATTTACAGCTCATAAATTTGAAAAGCACAACTAGACCCAAAAGGCACACTTTCATACAGATCACACTCAGAGAGATTTCTTGAAGTAGAAGAAATAAAGAACAAATGTTGACACTGCAAGGTCAAGTATCAGATGGTGAGGTTTTCTTGTAGCGCAAGGAACGATCCTATGATCTTGCCACCGAGATCTGGGAATGTCTCGCATCCAGGAAGAGAACTCACTTTGCCTGTTCTATCAACTTGAACTGGATACTTAAGAAGATGACCTGGCATCTCTGTGACCTCCTCTGCTGCATACTGTCTCCAATTGATCTCACTCAATTGCCTAACTCGTCTCACGCATTCCATGTTCTCTGGTTCCTCGAAACCTTGCTCTAGAAACCCTAGATGTTCTGCCCATAAAGACATTCTATATCCAAAGATCTGCAAGAAATTGGGACAAACCAGGGTTTAGATATGTTTTAGAGGACATACATTGGTGGCTTTTTAGTTTTTTGTCATGGAATGCTGGCAAAGATTGAAAAGTAGAAGTCTTTGACAGTTTTTTACCTGACCACGAGGACGAGAACCTTTCATAGCCCATGAATGGTGTGGTTGATACCCTCCCATGGCGATTTCAGTGTCTCTAGTTCCTTCCAAGGATCTCTGGTTGATATTCGCGGAACCAATTAAGACAAACTCATCATCCACTACCATACCTTTGGAATGAACATATATCATGAATCTCCGACTCTTCAAAGCTTGCACCTAGATTAGTTTGTCATTTCAGTGAGTAAACCCATTAAGCCAAAATCGAAGATTTAAGAAGACATTTATAGATGTATACCTGTGCAGCATTTGCATTTGCATTTGGCTGAGGTGGCTTCCGTGGACTATTATATATGCTAACTGTTCCATCAGGAACCTCTCTGGTTCCAAGACAGAAAAAGTTCAAAAAGTCTTGTGGCTCAAACTGGCCATCAAGACCAACTTCCACAAGTGCCTTGTAGATGGTTTGATACATCATTTGCATTGTTTTGTGCTGCAGAGATTATGAAAAGATTCCGGTATAAAGAAGGCAATATTGTTCGTCAAGATCGGGTTTTTAAAGCAAAGAATTGACAAATTATTTACCTGCCAGTAGAGAATTCTTTGAATAGGGTTACTTGTTGGAGCACCTTCTGGCCACATTGGAATGACAATATAAGCAGCAAACTTTTCCCTTGCTCTAATCTTATTAGCAATCTTAAGCGCGATTTCTATCGGGATTAGATTATTAGCACCTGCAATGCCAAAACTCCTTGTTTATACTGCATGCATTGACTACTTAGCTTACCTTCAAAAGCTTTCAAGTTTCTTACCCAAGTCCTTGTTCGAATCCCAGTTGAATGATGATCCAAGAAAATATTGGTTCTCAATGTAAATGAAGTGCTGAGCAGATCGTATGGCCTTAACATAAGCTGCGTGTATGCTCATATCTATGAGAATGTTCTTTCCACATAGAAGATTCTGTTCACAAA